TGTGGTCCTCTTTTCAAACCACTAGTGAAGCAACTTCAGCTGCATTTAAATAATCGGTATACGTATCAGTACAACCAAATACCACCAGGAGCTCTGCAGCATTACCCAACACATCGTGATTCATTTATTTATACAGTAGATCGTATATCTGATGAAAGGTGAAGATCAACATTTGAGTGGGGGATTTAACATACATTTGAGATTGTTGATTTTGTTCATTGGATTGACTTTAGGCGCAGAATGCTGTTTACTAGAAATGAACTCCGTTCAGATCAGCAAACTGCGAGAAAATAGAGGCGGAAATGGGTGAAAGCCTGGGTTTGTTGATATCCGAGGAATTTTCTACGCTATTAAACGCTGCGGAAAAGAACTTATGTGTGCAGGTTGTACTATAAAAGAACATTCACAAAGAGCAGGGACTTTTTAATTGCACGTCTTCACAAAACAGAAAATTTTTTTTTGCGTCCATGAACCTGAGGGAAGTGTACGAATTAGATAACGCATTATCGCTGGTTACAAAAGAACGAAATCAGTTTATTAAATTGTTTCTTACAAATCTGTTACGTTTTGTACCGTAAAGATAAGTAATACTTTTACGAGATCAAAATTTACTATACAACGCCGTAATAACTGAACATATTTTAGTGTACATAAAACGTCCCAAAGTATCATAAGTTTTTTCTGCAACGCCGAAACTGAACCCTGTCTAAATGTCTTTTAAAATATAGAAAATAATCAATGAATATAAAAAATTGAAACGGAACGAGCAAAAGGTAATCACGTGTAAAAATATCTAAGGATAAATTCTGTCACTGTGTTGTGCATTTGCAATCAAACGACTGCGCCCTGAAGGAAAAAAAGCATTTTGAAAATTGCCCCAGTTTACATAGAAAAGTAAGTTCACTCATTTTCAGCAGAGTATTTACCCCTTATTTTTAGGAAGTCAAAAAAACTGTTAGCCAGTATTAATTCGCCAACCAGTCTAGGTCTTTTTTTTTACTTATGGTACCTAATTTACTGATATAAAATATTAAGAGAGAAACCGCGTGTGGTAACTTCGCGCAACAGAAAATGTCTTGTCCATATCACGACATATCATCAGACATACAGTCTAATGCAAACAAGTGTACACCTTTGAATGCGGAAAAAGAAAGAACTTCTGCCCAAT